GTACAGTGGTAACTTATGCATATGGAAAGGATGATTGAAATAGGTTTTCCTTGCTGTAAGGACAAAAATGACAGTTTTAGTAGTCAGATGGGAAAGAGTAAATATCAAAACACCATTAAAATGGAAATTTTATGTTCTTACTGGTAGTGGGGAAGGAAAAACTATTATGTTAAATTTGCTTTCTACAAATTCTGTTTTTCCATTACTGTCTCACTCATAATAGCAGAAAAGGGTTCCCACTGCAGTGTTTTCTAAACACTCCAATAGGATGTCAAATGCAATGTTTTGGGTGTGGAAGAGGAGGACAGTAACCATAACACCCTGAACTGATTTGGAGGGCTTCCTGCATTCCAGGCATGGAGGCTGCATTGTATGTAGCTTGTTTAATTTCTTGTGTGTTATTTCCCTATCTTTACAAGTCACATTATCATTGCCTGTAGAAATGGAAGACCCTGTAACTTTAACAGACTCTGAGTAGGTTTTTGGGTAAAACTGATTACACAAAGCACTGAATACCAGTCCTTGCAGATTGCCCTTTAACAACACAACCAAGCATTTCACGTCGCTGGAACTGCAGGTAAAGATGCCTTTGCTTTTCCTTTTGGGTGCTCCTGTTAATGTTACAGAAGGAAGCAGTAAGTGGCATACAGAGAGGCAGCAGAATGGAAGTAAAATAACAAATTTACACATGGATAAGGGTTGATCACATATAAGCCGTGCCTGGAATAATGACTCACTGGGTTACAACACTTTCTTTTATAGGGTTTCACAACCTTGACTTCATTTGGGTGGTTACATTTCATTCTTTGCTCAAATCACGGTCACAGAATAGTTAATCGTTTCAAGACAGATGTAACAGTTCTTTGCAAAGGGGAGTTTACCTTTAAGATTCACCTAGTTATCTATTCTAGTCCATAGGTAGGGGGTGTTCAGGGTTTTCAGGGGGTGTTCAGGGGATCAAACTTTAGCAATGGGTTCTTTCATCTAGACACTCATACTACCATGTGGCTCCACTCTCTTCAGAGCTCAAGACCTTGATGTGCCCTATTCTCTCAGGGAAAGATCAAATGCCTCATTCAGCAGTTAGTGCCTTCGGTGCCTATTTGTTCTGAGCTAAACAAATCAAACTGCTGTTTGAGACAGCCTAAGCCATTTTACATTGTAACATTTTATAGGTTTTTGTTATTTAGAAAAGTTTTTCTATCATTAGCACACAGAACAGAGCAGAGTGTGGCATCAGGACAGAAGTAGTTCAGAAGCAAAGATTAAACAAGAGAATACACTTGCTAGTATAGCACATATTTCTCTCCTGCTACCACTGCACTATACACTTTCAGCTTTCCACATCCTTGTGGTGCATGTGGTTATTTCATACAATATCACTTGGGTCCAGGGATTTAGCTCAGCGGTTCAGTGGCCTGCCTTGCCAGCGCAAGGACTCGAGTTCAATCCCCGGTACCAAAAAAAACCCAACCAACCAACCAACCAAACAAACAAACGAAAAAACTATATCACTTGGGGACATAGAAGGTCTGGGTCAAATTTCCACTTATCGAGTCAGAGAGTTAAATAGTGTATGTCATATGTTCTTGTGGTTAAAACTGCTTTACATCTGCCTAAACATTTCTGTTGCTTAGGAAACAGTGAAATTTGTAGTTCATTGGAAAGCATGTGTGAGATTAATTTTTAATCTTTTTAGTTCCACTTATTAATTCTGTGATACAGGAGAGGTCATCAGTATCTCTGGGACAGAACATTGTCATTTGAGTTGATTTGTAGCTGGCACAACTGCCCTGTGTATGGGTTAAATGGATAACGATTGCTCCACATGGGGTTAATATATATAATATAAAATTAAGGAAATATGGAATGTAGATATAAAAATTGTTGATTATAAGGAGATCTTATATTCTTCAATAAGTTCTATGATCTGAGCTTACCATTTTCCTACTTTTGTAATGGGCATTTTATTTTTTGGGTGTAATTATATGCATCAATTTGGAGAGAAATAATGTATTATTCCTTACATCTGACTCTCCACAGCCTATTCTTAGTTCAAGACAGAAGAGGCTTCCATGATTTAAAAAAATGTCTTGCAAATACTGAATGGACCCTCTCTTGTTCACAGGAGACAAAATAATTGTCATTGACCAACATGCCTTGGACCCACTTGGTATGTTGTTTCCACACATGGCTTCCCTTTCATGAATGCCACATAGAGATACAGAAAGTTAAAACAGCTCATGTGTGTGTCATGTGTGTGCCCTTAATTAAGTACATCTACATCTACCATCTAAAGCACTGAAGAGATATTCATGAAAAAAAAAAGAAGCACAAAGAAAATTGTGCAGGTCAAGCTGTGCCTGAAGCTGAGACAAATTTTAGAGCTTTGTATCATTCCATGCCCAAGGGCCACTTGAATACTCTTTCCATAATTTCTCTTCTTGCATAGCGATGTGCTTCATTTTAAAAACAAAAACCATGATTGGATTCTGAAGTTCTGAACTTCCTATTATTGTCACACCTGTGGAGATGGGTGTAATTCTTTTCATTTTCCTCAAGTAGCATGAGCACAGAGAGGAAGGTAGAGTCACACATATTCTGCCTCTTGAAACAGGTCAGTGATAACGAAGTAAAGTGTTCATTTCCCGACTCCCATCCCAGAGCAATCTTCTCCATTATAGCCAAATGGAAATATAATTCTCTATATGATGATAATTTTTGGTTTATTTTATTAAATAGATCATTGCATCACATACTCTTGAAATATTTCTATAGCATATCTTCAGAGTGAAAGGCTGTAAGTGATAATGCAGGACATTGTTTTGCAAAACAAATGTAATTGAAGAATTGTCAAATTTTATATACATTAAGTTTTAGAAATCAAAAGTACTCCAATGAATATTTTTATACAGATTTTTATTAAGTGACAGGAATGTTTTCACAATGAACTTAGAAGTTAAATGAGGTCTTTCTCCAAGGTAATGCTTTGCATCAATTAAAATATTTGCAGTAATTCTGTGTTCTTCTCAGGTAGATTTACAAGCAGTTGCTGGTGGAAACTAGTCCATTTCAGATTCAACAAGTGTTGCTTTTGGAAACTTCTTTCATGAGTTTTAGGTATTTTGTGGTAAGTTTTTGGAAACTTTGATAGGAAAATAATGTACTCAAAAAATCTATGTTAGTAAAAGTTCATGGGAACAAGTGTTCAGGAGCATAAAATTATGTACAGATACAAACAATGCCAACATGTAGGTCATTTTCTAGACCTCTATAAATTATGAGTTTTTATAAAATTTGCGTGTTAATAGACTGTGGTTATTATTTACCATAGTATTAGATTATAACAGACATGCATTTTCTGAATGCCAGGAACTATTCTATAACAGTGGTTCTCTACGCAAATTTACAAAATATCAAAAGAAATTGCAATGCATATATTCTCATTAAGTTACTTTTGGTCTGAGACTTGAGTATCTGGACTTAAAAAAAAATCTCCAAGTAAATCTATACATTAATTATACAGAGCCAGTGTTTATTTAATTTAAAAGAAAAAAATTAGTACAACCATATAAGGTAGGTCATTATCTTACCCATGAGAGGCAATTACATTGTGTGTAGAGGTATGTGCATTAGTTTAAATTTATTTTTCTTGTGCTGGTATAATTTCAATTATGTCTAAATTATTTAACTTACTTTTCTATTTGGCAGGTTTTCCAATTAATTTACAGTGTGGCCTGAAAAAGACAGCATGCCTAAAAATTTTATTCCATATGGCAGAAATAAGAGACTTGCAATAAAAGAACCCGTCTTCTACTGTAAGAGGATCAGGAACAGTAAATTGTATTACCATGCTAGTGTAGAATTCAGAATCAATGAAAAGACAGAGTGTCTCACAAAGCATATATTTTATTGACATTGCATAGAGCTGCTTAAAATAATTCTCTACAAACTTAGAGATGTCACAGGTGCTACTTATCATGTATAATTATTTGAATCACTGATAGTTGAAAGTGCACAAATGTCACATTTGTGGTCTGTGTGTCCTTACATTATTTAAGCTTGAAAGAAATTTCATTGTAGAAATTTTAAGTGCACTTAAGCCAAGGATAGAAATTATTGTAAAATTATCTAAGTGATTTCATTGCCTGCCTTGCAAGCACAAGGACCTAAGAACCCCAGGTTGCCCCCTGCCAAAAATACAAATTATTGTAAATTTTTAATGTGGAACAATGTTTGAATAAGTAATTACATTCTTCAAATGCAAAAATAAAAGAAAATGCAAGATTAATGAAAAACTGCTGAGACAACTGGATCTCACCATAATGTGTTCTGATTATGATTCATCAGATTTAATTTAATATTCAGATAATAAAATTCTAGATTTTAATACCTACATGTATCCCAAATCAAGGTAACTGATATGATTTTATGTAAAAACAAAAGATATATTTGAATGCTTCTTGATTTCTCTCCAATAGAGTGTTTTTCTTCCTTAAAGGGGAGTGGCTTTACTTTCTCTTTCATTTTTCTTAAAAGAGTTGGATGTATTTCACTGGAATTGTGATGTTCTGAAGTATAAAGCATCATTATTTAGAAGAACACTTAGTCTGTAAGTGTGCATAGATAGAGATGGATAACAAAAATTTCAATAATGAAAATATCTTGAGGAATTGGATTTTCCATAATTGAGCAATGCTGATAAAGGCTATGGACTTCAATTGTAAATATTTTACTTGTAAATATTTAAAATGAAAATATGCATTATTATCCATCTGTTTCACATTTCTCATGATATTTTTATTTTGACAAGTTGCTCACAAAGCATGAAAACACAGAATCTCACAAGTTTCTCCGAATTCCATCTCCTGGGCTTCTCAGAGGACACAGACCTGCAGCTCATCCTCTTTGGACTGTTTTTGTCCATGTACCTGGTCACAGTGCTTGGGAACCTGCTCATCATCCTGGCTGTCATCTCTGACTCTCATCTCCACACCCCCATGTACTTCTTCCTCTCCAACCTGTCTTTCTCTGATATCTGCTTCATCTCAACCACAGTCCCAAAGATGATTGTGGACAACCTAACTCAAAACAGAGTCATCTCCTATGAGGACTGCCTGACACAGATGTCTTTCTACATCTTATTTGTATGTATGGATCACATGCTCCTGACTGTGATGGGTTATGACCGGTTTGTGGCAATCTGTTATCCACTACATTACCACACCATTATGAACTCTTGCTCCTCTGTCTCCTTACTCTTGGTGTCTTTTTTAGTTAGTGTTTTGGACTCACAGACACACAAGATGATTGCCTTACAAATTATGTGCTTCAAGGATGTGGAAATTGCTAATTTCTTCTGTGAGCCTTCTCAAATCTTTAATGATACCTGTTCAGATCCCTTTACCAATACTGTATCAATGTATTTATTTGCTTTTATATTTGGCTTATTTCCCATTTCGTGGAATCTTTACTCTTAGTATAAAATTCTTTCTTCCATTCTGAAAGTTCCATCATCAGGTGGAAGGCATAAAGCCTTCTCTACCTGTGGATCTCACCTGTCAGTTGTTTGCTTATTTTACGGAACAGGCATTGGAGTGTATTTCGGTTCAGCCATGTTACAATCTCCCGGGAAGTGTATGGTGGCCTCACTGATGTACACTGTGGTCACTCCTATGTTGAATCCCTTTATGTACAGCCTGCGGAACAGGGACATGCATAGTGCCCTAAAGAGACTCTGCAGAATAGCACTCTGAGATTAAGACTTTACCATCCACTGGGAATGTGACAGATGAAAGTAGAAGTGAAGGAAAGGAAAAGTAAGGAACAATATGTTGTATGTGAACTTTATTCTCTCCAAGATTCTGGTCAAAAAATGCTGGGTGAGAACTGAATAAATTAAAATGTTATATCCACATGTTACATATTATAGTAATACTAATAAAAAGTGAGAAAAAGAATACAAAGCAAAATTGAATACCTAGGCCTCTAAATTTGTATTCTCAGTTACACTATATTTGAGTTTTGATAGTTTTAACTCCTCATCATGTTTCATAGTAGAAAGCAGGTTAAGAGGCAGGGGCTGGAGAAACTCTATTTAAAAAAATTAGTATACATATTTATTTTGGGAAAATGAAAAATTTATACTGATGGATGAGAGTGTTTGTTGCACAAAAATGTCAACACAATTAATGCCAACAAAATGTGTCCATAAAAGTGCTTAAAATTATATCATGTTTATGTATATTTTCCTAATGAACATTGTAAAAAATAAGTGATTTTTTTAAAAAGGAAAAAAAAATAGCAGAGTGATTAATACACTTGATATTCAGCCCAATACTAGAAGAACCTAAATCCTTTTGTGGTTCTTCTTCCTCCACTCTTATTCTGAAATCCTTAGAGAATGGGATAACATGGAACAACTGGGGTTATTATCCACTGTGTACAAAGGGCCTTCAAGGTTGTACAATAATCAATAATCAGTCTGTAGCTGCAGCCTTTCACTTTTTATACTTCCAGGTCTAGGGTGCCCATGTCTATGTCCCTCCAGTCTGCTGTTGTCTGCATTAGGACACCCATATCTGAAACTACACTGGTATAATCCCAAAGGTAGAGATTGCATCTTCACTCGGCCTTAGGCAAGTGAGTGGTGTTGGACTGCAGTTTGTGCTCTTCACTCAGCAGAGAGACAGTGTGGGCTGAAGTACGTGGAGAGGGAGGATGAATGGAGCTGGGACTATGGGATCCACTGATTCCTCAGCATTGGGAAAATCACAAATCCTTAAGTAATCCAAGGATGAAAATATGCAAAGTTTCAACTGCAAGGATGGTGAAATTTATATATGTGGATGTTGTCATGGTCTCAACAGTGTCAGCCACAGTTTTCCTTTCCTCCAACACTGATCTTCCATCTGTTATACATCTAACCCATGATAGGAAAAGATGTGTGTCTGTAAACTGTGCCATAAACAAAAGAATATAGTAGTACAAATGAGGATGAAGATGAAGAAGTCAGTAAGCATCAAGTTATGAGGCAATATATCTACAAGACAACATCTAAGTTATATGTTCTATGTAATTAGTTTCATTCAATCTGCAAAACCATCTCAATTATTAGCTCCCATATTATTATTCCATGGAATATAGGGGCACAACATTTTTGTATTATTCATTGCATATTGTTCTTGTGTAAAAAGAAGCAAAGAGACCTTTGGATTGTGCTGTCTTACTTGTGACCTAGAAAATATGGAATATTTTCTCTTTTATATCCCAAACACACTTTTCACTTCCTTCTCTCTCCAGTAATGGTAACTTTCTCACTGTTCTTTTCCACTTGAGGGATGTTTGGTGAAGAAAAAGAACAATCTGTGGGTGCTGTCTGGTGCAGCAATTATTGTAAAAGGGCTGTGATGATAGGAAAATTACAGAAGAGAAGCCTCACAAGTCAGCACAGACTTCTCCCTTTCTCCCTCTTCAGGGGATCCTTGAAGATCTCTGAATGCTTTACCTTTAATTCAACCAGCACTCTCAATCTCAGAAGGAATCTAAAGGTTAGATATTACACTCATTAGTACTTAGGGGAGTGGAATTAATTTTAAAATGACCCTGAGTTTGACTTATGCTTAAAATATCTGCACCTCTGCATACATTTTATAACCTTTAGAAAGTGATAGAAAAGTTTAGTGCACATTGTCTAGGTACTTATGATTGAAATCCTGCTGGATGAAATTTTATTTTTTATGAAAAGTGTTGTTTGCTAGTATCTCTGAGACTAGATATTTTCATCTGAGTTGACTTGTAGTTCAGATATCTGCCCTAAGTAAAGAGTAAGCTGACACTGGAAAGTCAATGATTTTATATGTGATAACATATAGAATAAGCTTAAATAAGACTTGAATGATTTTTTTCTCATTGAGTTTATTGGTACATTTTAGGTATACAGTACAGTGACATTCATTATTGGGATCCTGTGCCTTTTCATGACAGGTCTTTGGTCTCATTTTTCCCCTTGTTCCTGCCCTCCCTTCATCCCTCCTCCCCTCTCCCTTTACAAACACTTCATTTCCATTTTTTCATTTTCAAATTTCTCACATTTTTTTCTTTTCCCTTATTACCTTTCTTCTACCCTTCCCACATTCCCTACACCTTTAGCCCTTTTCTTCCTATTTCACATTGTTGATTATATTATTAGGATCTTATGTACTATTATAGTTTATTGACACCAGAGAAACTATTCAGTATTTACACATGTGTGACTTATTTATTTCACTTAGGAGTATATTCTCAATATGTATACATTTTCCTATATATGAATCTAATTTTTCATTCTTTATGGCTGAGTAATATTCCATTTTATAGAAAAACCACATTTTCTTTATCTAATCTCCAACTAATGGCAAAATGGGCTGTTTCCAAGTTTTAGCTATTACAAACTGTGCTACTATAAATGTAGGTATGCATACACCTCTGTGATATGATTTTTTAAATTCTTTTGGAAAGATACCCAGCAGAGGGATGGCTGCATCAAATGGAACCTCTTGTCCCAGCTCTTTGAGACTTGAATCATTATTAATAACAATGCCAAGGTTAATCTTGTCATTATACCAAAGCATCGTGTTAATTTACTGTTTTCCTATTTTTTTGTGACAGAGGTTACCTTTGTCATTGAATAATGAAATTTATTCATTGAATAATAAGTTTATTCAATTGATTCCATGATTTTTCAAATGAAAAACAGAAATTGAGTGGGCACTGATGGTGAAAAAGGTTCATACAGGGCCAGGGTTTTAGCTCAGTGGTTCTGCTGCCTGCCTTGCAAGTGCAAGGACAGGAGTTTGGTCCCTGGTAGAAAAAAAAAAAACAGAAAGAAAGTAAAAGGGTGATACATAGAATATACAAAAATGAAAAAGTTCTGGGCATTTAATGATATATAGCAATAGTTACTAATGTTGAGTCATCTCATTGAATTTATTTTTTTTTGGAAATGTAGTTAAGCTCTAATATATTATTTATGAACATTTTGCCCAGGGGAAAATGACTCATTTTATAAGAGAAGCTTCTGCATTTTATTTAGAAACATTGATATTTTGTCTTAAAGCAGAAAAGATATTTCTTATTCTCCAATTTTCTGAAAAGGATAGGCTTTATTGTATTGTAATTATGGATTTGTTCTATATGATGTTCTTGGTTATCTAATATTCATCAATTAAACATTATTAATGTGAGTGATCATAGAAGGGGATGAATAGCCTAGAAAACAATGGAGGAAAATTTCAAAAAGTATTGGGTTTCTCCCAGATGAGTAGTATTGCTGAAGGAATATAGGAATCAAATGTGGATAATTTCTTTTTGACTACAGAACATCACTTCCAATGTCTACCCTTTTTGTTTTCTTCTTCTGGCCCTTTGAAAAGGTGTCAAATCAATACAGAGAATGAAATAAAATGTAGATCTCAGAATTCTATCACATGAACTTCAGAGGATACAGAACTGCACCCTGTTATATTTTGATTGTTCTTGTCATTTTACTTAGAAACTTGCTCATCTTTCTGTCCATCAAGTATGACTCCCTGCTCCACAAAACCATGTCCTTGTCGCTCTCCAACCTGTCCATGCCAGACATCTTTTCAATATCTATCCCAGTCCCAAAGAAAAGTGTCCATCACTGTGTTCAGATCTTTCCTATAGCCTGTGAAATGAGGACATTAAAAGTGCTAGACTTTAAAATCATCCCAAAGCCAAATGTGATAGCAAACACTTGTAATCCTAGTGCTCTAGCAGGGTGAAGAACATGATCTAGAGTTTGAGCATAGCCTGGGCAATTTGGTGACTTTTTGAGACCCTGTCTCCCAAAATAAAATAAAAGCACCTGAGGTTGTAGTTGAGTTTAAATGCCCTTGGTTCAACACCTGGTAGGGCTGAAATATACCAAGAAAAAGAATGTGCTCCAAGAATTCATCACAGAAGAGCAATATATTCACAAGACCAGTGAAAATTTATTTGGAAATATAAGTTGAAGAAAGATGAAGAGTAAACTTCTGGTTCTAAAATTTCCATGTCCACAGTCATATTATTAAGTCAGTTTGTGTGCTTAATTCCTCATCAAATTTCATAGTAGTCAGCTCATAAAGGGTAGATGCGTAATAAGTTAGATAATACTTCTGACTTTCCCACATATAAGATACCACTGTGGCCCTCCACACCTTCCTCTACCCTGGAATAATTATATAGTTTGACAAAGGAATCCCTGTGGTCTGGATGTCAGCTGAATTATTTCTGATAATTCAGGAAAAACCTTAAAATGTTTATCTGATTTGATCCTGAGAATGATAACTTAATTTCTTTTTTTTAGCTTTAATTGAGTTTATTGGTACATTTTAGGGATACAGTAAAGTTACATTCATTGTTGGGATCTTGTACTTCTACATGACAACTCTTGATTCTCATTTTTCCAATTGTCCCTGCCCTCCCTTCACCCCCCTCCCCTCCCCATCTACAAACCCTTTATTTCCATCTTTTCATTATCTCACATTTTTTTCTTTTGCCTTATTACCCTTCCCCTACCCATCCCACCTTCCCTAACCTTTAGCTCCTTTCTTCACATTTCTAAATGTCAGTAATCTTATTAGGATCTTATGCTTTATTGCAGATTATTCACACCAGGGAAACTATTCGGTATTTACACATTAGTGACTTATTTATTTCACTTAAGAGTATATCTTCAATATGTATCCATTTTCCTATGAATGAATCTATT